TCAGTGATGCTGAGCATCTTTTGGTCTACCTGTTGCCATCTGCATATTTTCTTTGGAGAAATGTTTTTCCAAGTCACCCATTTTCAAATCAAGCTGTTTGTTTTGTTGTTGAGTTGTAGGAATTCTCCATATATGCTTTATATAACCCTTTTCAGATATATAATTTGCAAATACTTTCTCCATTCTGTGGTTGTCTTTTCACCCTATTGACAGTGTCTTTTGATTAACAAAGTTTAAAAATTTTCACATAGTCCTCTACGTTGTTGTTGTTTGTGTCTTTGATGTCATACCCAATAAATAACTGCTGAATAAATCACTGTCATAAAATTTTTTCCTTATTTTCTTCTAAGACTTTTATAGTTTTGGGTCTTACATTTATGTCTTTGATCCATTTTGAGTTAATTTTTGTATATGGTGTTAGTTAAGGGTTCAACCTCATTTTTTACATGTGGATATTCCATTTTCCCAGCAGCATTTGTTGAAAAGACTATCCTTTCTCCATTGAATAGTCCTGGCACTCTTGTTAAAAATCATTTGACCGGCTGGGCGCAGTGGCTCACACCTGTAATCCCAGCACTTTCGGAGGCCGAGGTGGGCAGATCACAAGGTTAAGACATTGAGAACATCCTGGCCAACATGGTGAAACCCCATCTTTACCACAAATACAAAAATTAGCCAGGCATGATGGTGGGCGCCTGTAATCCTAGCTACTGGGGAGGCTGAGGTAGAAGAATCGCTTGAACCCGGGAGGTAGAGGCTGCAGTGAGCTGAGATCGTGCCACTGCACACCAGCCTGGCGACAGAGTGAGACTCCATCTCAAAAAAAAAAAAAAAGAAAAAAGAAAAAAAGAAAAAGGAAAAAAATCATTTGACCATATACATGAGGTTTTATTTCTGGGCTCTCTCTTCTATTTCATTGGTCTATATGTCTTCCTTATGCTAGTACAACACTGTTTTTTGTATTTGATTACTGTAGTTTTGTAGTAAGTTTTAAAATCAGTTTTAAAATCAGAAGAGGTGAGTCTTCAAGCTTTGTTCTTCTGTTTCAAGACTGTATGGTATTGACTATTTGAGCTCCCTTCAGATTCCACATGAATTTAAGGATATGCTTTCCTATTTCTGTAATCCCAGCACAGTGGGAGGCCAAGGTGGGAGGACTGCTTGAGGCCAGGAGTTCAAGACCAGTCAGAGTAACATGGTGCGACCCTGTCTCTGTAATCCCAGCTACTTGGGAAGCCTAGGAGGGAGGATCCCTTGAGTCCTTGAGATGGAGGCTACAATGGGCTATGATTGTGCCACTATATTCCAGCCTGGATAACAGAGTGAGACCCCATCTCTTTGGGGATAAATTTATTGGTCCACAAATCCAGTTGACATGTGAAAATGCATGTTCCTGTTATAGATTAAAAATGACTTAGGCTCAGTACAATACAGTTCTTCAAACACAAGTCTTGGTTAAGAAACAGAAATTGAAGAGGAATCAAGAAACAGAGACAAGCCAAGTTCTCCCTCAACCGAGCTGCTGGAAAAACACCATCTCCAGATTTTCTTTCAGGTTTGAGAATTTTTCTCCCATTCCACACTTTTATCTTGATACTGATATCACTGTGGCGCAGAAGGACTCCCTAGCTTCTCTTCCTTGAATCCTCCTCCTCCTCTCCTCCTCTTTCTCTGTCTCCCTCAGTCAGCCAGGCGCTTGCAGAAGCGGCAGGGCCCGGCCCAACCTGAAAGAGAACACAGCTGGAGGGGGTGGTGGCGGTGACCAGCGGCCACGTGACCACGCTCGTGCTGTAGCTGCGGCCACCTCCTGCCGCAGACCTACTCTTTAAAAAATTGATAAACTATGCACTTCAGAGAGAAGAAAAAGAAAAAGATATAAGAAGGAAATTTCAGACATCAGGAATAAAGAGACAGCAACAGAAATGATAACTATCTGGTTAAATATAATAGGCTATTCTTTTCCTTAAAATATGATTGATGGTTGAAAAAAATTATGTCTGATGGAGTATATAATGTATGTAAATATAAAATATAAGACAACAATAAATATGGTGCAGGGGAAAGGTTGATAAGGTTTCTACATGCCAAATGAAGTAGTAAAACAATGAAATGACCCAAAATAGACAATGCAAAGTATGTATTTTATAATTCCTAGAGCAACCACTAAAAAATTATACAAAAAGATATAGTTGAAATTATAGTATATAAAATAGAATACTAAATAATGTTCAAATAGTCAAATGAAAGCAGGAAAGGGGAAACATAAACATGGAGCAGCTAGCTTTCTCATAGTGGTGGGACTGGAAAATGCTTTTGGAGAACTGTCAGTTTCTTAAAATGTAAAGGATATATCTAGTAGCTCCACTGTTAGGCATCAACTTAAGAGAAATAAAAGCATATGTTCATACAATGACTCATACGTGAGTTTTCAGAGCAGCTGTAAATGTATTAGTCCTGAACCGGAAACAACTCAGATGTCCATTGACAAGTGACTAGATAAACTATGGTATATCGCACAGTGGGATACTCCACAGCAATAAAAAGGAATTGATACAAGCAATAACATGGAGAAATTTCAAAATAATGTAATTATGCTGAGTGAAAGAAGCCAGACAAAAAAGATTCCATTTATATAAAATTCTAAATATGCAAACTATAGTGACCTAAAGCAGATTAGTGGTTTCTAGAGAAGGAAGAGGGTAAAGCAGAGAAAGAAGGGAGAGAAGGATTATAAAGGACCGTGAAAAAATTTTTAGGGTTATGGATGTTCTCTTGATTATGGTAATGGTTTCAAAAGTAAATATATGTCAAAATTCATCAAATTGTATATTCTCATTTAATGTGCAGTATATCATATGTCAAATATACCTCAATAAAGTTGTAAAATTTTTTTAGAGGGTGTAAATTGTGAACACTGCATATCAGTGTTCATGCTTTTGCCCTTATGTGATGACAAGGAAGAACAGTAGACATCTCCTATGAATAAAATGGAACTATACAGTTGTTCAATTAAGCAAAAACATCACTTAATGATGGAAATATTTTTTAAAAAATTTTAGGCTGCATGGTAGCTCGCACATAAAATCTCCGCACTTTAGGAGTCAAAGGCAGGAGGAACACTTAGCCCAGGCGTTTAAGACCAGAATGGGAAACGCAGGGAGACCCCATTTCTACACAAAATTTAAAAATTAGCTAGGTGTGTGTGCACGTGCCTGTGGTCCCAGCTACTTAGAAGGATGAGATGGGAGGATCATTTGAGCCTGGAAAGTCGAGGCTGCAGTGAGCTGTAATTGCACCACTGCATTCCTGCCAGGGTGACAGAACAAGACCCTGTCTCAAAAAAAAAAAAAAAAATTATACTTTGTCTTAAACATATAAGCAATCCTCACTTGGCTCAGTCTGATATGAATTTCAGTTACCACAGTTTGTTAACTGTGAGAAATAGCATAAAAGTTTGCTACTAGCTTTTCAGTCCACAAATAATTACATAAATAACATTTCTGTAATTACATAAATGAATCAAAATTAGTGACCAGTTTGCAATTTTGCTTCTTTCACAGTCTGTGGGTGATTGGTCACTGTGCATCTGTTATTAAGTTCACACACAGGCTGCAAAGCACGTAGGTTTGTTATTAATATTTCTGTGCCCTTAAGATAAGCCCACGTGGAATTTTACTGATTAAAAGAGGAAATTGGCCAAAAGAATGAAAATGCATTAAAAGAGTGATAATACTAGAAGTGAAACTTGCATTAAACATAAAATGGAGCAAATGAAAAAAATAGCTGCCTGTGGGAACATGCTGATTGTGGGAACAATGACACTGCCACCATTTGAGACATTCTAGATATGCAGACTGAGGAAATCAGTGAAGGTGAACTTACAGACATAAATGAGGAAAAGTGGTTGTGATGAAAGGCTGATGATGTGTCAGAGGAAGTGACACTGGCAAAAAAACACATTAAAGGAACTCTCAGAGATATTTCACAACACTGAAAACGTAACAGATAAAATGTTGGAAACTAATATTTAAATTTCTCCGGAACGCAGAACTCATATGCAACGGTGTTCTCCACTGTCCAAGTAAATATCTTCAAAGGTTCCTCAATTAACGTGGGCAAAATTAAAAGTAAAACTTGCTTCTTTCCTTTGGAAAACCCTCTCTCAGAGTATATTACCAACATTCAACTTCTTATACAAGACATAAATCTGGGAATCATTAATCATTCTTCCCTTTTCGTCATTCACGTATCCAATCAATTTCCATGGACTGCTGATTCTATTTCTTAGACGTTTTTCAAATGTCTCCACTATCTTTATTCTACTTGGGAACTCTGTGGCCCAGACTTCCATCAACTCTCTCCCGGACAAGTGTAATCACAACAGTTACCTAACTTGGCTACCACTGTTGTTCTCAGTTGCAACCCATTCTCCAAGCAGAAAACAAAATGCAATAGCTGTTACCTTATTCTCATCTTCACACCTCTACCCAAGTACACATGGCTCTTCCTCATCCAGTTTCTGTCTACTTCATCTCTTGTCAATGGTCCCTACCCCAATTCTCCGCTCTAGTCATTCTGAACTTTGTTCAATTCCTGGCCTGTGTCCTCTGCCTTTTTAATAGGCTGCCTGACACACTGTAGGAACTCACTAAATATGCAGACTGAATGAATGAACGAGTACTTGGAGGGCAGTTATTCTTATCAGTAACTTAAGAGAGAAGGAATACAGTACAACGAAGTATCCTTATTTAGGTTTATAATATCTTCATCTGAGCCCGCGGGCGAACCACCCCCCCCACCCCCGCCCCTCGCCGCCCCTCGCCTGCAAGTTGTTACCAGTAAATAAAAGGGATCCTATTTTCGCAAGCCACACCGCATTAGAGGGTAAATAAGAGTTTGGTGGCAGGAGAGCGATGAGACGGGAAAGTGTGGGGCAAAGTTTACAGTTATTGGTCCAGATTCTAACTGGCCTGTTAGCCAAAAAGTAAGGTTTTCTTTACCTCCGTGTTGACTCTGCTCTCCGAAGGCGAAGAGGGTCCTCCAAACCCGTTTGTCGCGCGGACAAAAACCCCAGCATAGCGTGTCCTCACACCGGCTGGAGTACTGGACGTCGCCATGACAGAACTCAGGGGCGGGACTGGAACAGCAGAGTCTCCCATTGGTCAGGCTGTGATACATCCGGCCAATGGTGAGCGTCGTTACTAGAAGGGCTCCAGGATGGAGGCCGGCTTGACCTCTCCGCCTCAGTGAGCTGGGTTGGGTGCTGGAGCATTGCTCCTACTGCGGATCCTGCTGCTGGCAGCGCTGGAAACTGGGTGGACGGCATGGGTTGGTCTCAGGATTTGTTCCGCGCCTTGTGGAGATCGCTGTCAAGGGAAGTGAAGGAGCACGTGGGCACGGACCAATTCGGGAACAAATACTACTGCATCCCGCAGTACAAGAACTGGAGAGGTGAGGAGGGGGCGAGGGCAGCGATTGCGTGGTCAGTAAAGGAGGGAAAAGTGAGAGCCCCTAGTCAACTAACGCATCATGAGACACTTAGGGTGTCACCGGAGGGAATTTCTGGAGTTCGTTGGCCCCTGTCGACCCCTTCACTCTGCCATCGGAGACCTACCCGGCCCGGCTCTGGGCGCCTTGGCCCGGCCTCGTGCGACCGCGGTCCCTACGACCCAGCGCTTTCCCCCGGCGTGCCCCGGGCTGCTCGCGCTGTTAAGGCACACATCACTTTCCTCCCAGCCACGCCGGTAGAGGAGCCTCAGTTTTAGCCCTGGATCGGCGACGGAGGCGGGGAAAAGTCCACGCAAATCTTTCACCAAAGGGGCTAGGAAGGGCCAGGGAAGAGGTTTTTCGTACGCTGTGCCCCGCCTTGTGACCCAGAGCTGAGTGGTGTAATTGAAGAGGAGTATCTTCAGGGCCTCGGGTGTCCTCTTTCTTGGTGTTTACCCTTTTCGGTGGCACCCTGGCTCCGGCGCTGGCCCCATGCGCCTTCCTCACTACCAAGACTTGTCAGAAGTGGGTCCGTATCCCCATAAGGCTCGCTGATTCCTTTCTCTGGAGTTTACATTCCAAGACCCCGTTGAGCTCAATTTAAGAAACTTGGCACTAATCATGGTGTTTCTGTGTAGGATTCGTGCCAAGTAGTTGAGCGGGTTGTTTGGGGACTAAGGAGGCGTTGCTGTCCATTGAAATCACACTGTGTAGCCGCCGTCGTAACCTCTTTTCTGTTGTTCCATCGCCACATGCAGAAGATGTCAGGCTTTGGGCGAAAAGGGGTGGGTTAGAATCTCAGCTTTGACACCTGATAGCTCGAGAATCACGGAAAAAGTACTTGTCCTCTCCAAGTCTCATCATCCTCACTTGAAAATTAGAGATAATATAAGATCAGTAATGTTGAGAAGCACTAAGACCTTTACAAAATTATGTGCCATTCATTTCCCACATATATAAAATGTATTCTGTGATTTATCACTCAATTTATTAATTTATTTTTTTTGCCTAGCCTTTTTCTGTAACTTATTTTAATATTTAGTCTTGTTTCCCCAATGAGCTCCTTTGTCAGGCAGGGAATATGTCTCACACACGCACACACAAAAAGCCTACAAAGAACCTAGCATGGTGTTAAGTATTTCTTGACAGATTGCAAGCAGAGAGATGTTTCTTTTCCGTAAGTTGTCAGTAAAATTTAAAAAATATGCAAACTGTCACGTTGAGTTTTTTAAAAATTGAAATATAATTTACATACAGTAACATTCACCCTTTATGGTGTACAGTTTTATGGTTTTTGACAAATAAGTACAGAGTAACATCACTGGATTCAAGTAATAGAATAATTCCATCACCATCAGAATTTCCTCTAACTCCTTAGTAGTTCATTCCCACACCCTTTGGCAACCACCGATGTGTTTTATGGGCCTATAGTTTTGCCTTTTCTGGAATATCATATAAATGGAATTATACAGGATTTAGACTTTTGAGCCTGGCTTGCTTCACATAGCATAATGTAGTTGAGATTCATCCATGTTTCAGTAGTTGTTCCTTTTTATTGCTCAGTAGTATTCCATTGTATAGGTTTGCCAGTTTATCTGTTCACAAGCTGAAGGACATTAGGATGTTTCCAGTTTCTGTGATTGTGACAAAAGCCTCTACAAACATTCCCATACAGGATTTTGTGTGAACGTAAGTTTTCATATCTCTTGGGTAAATACCTCGTAGTGGGATTACTGAGTTGTGTGATCAGTGTATGATTAACTTTATGAGAATCTACCAAACTGTTTTTCAAAGTGGTTGTACCATTTTGTATTCCTGTCAGCAATGCATTAAAATTCTAGTTGTTTCCACACCCTCACCAGCACTTAGTATTATCCGATTTTTGGGTGTGTTTTTATTTTTATTTTAGCCATTTTGATAGATGTATAGTGGTATCTCATTGTGATTTTAAGTTTCATTTTCCTAATGCCTGAGTATGTTGACAGTCTTTTCATGTGCTTATTTGCTATCTACAGATCTTTGGTGAAGTATCGTTCAAATCTTTTGCCCATTAAAAAATACATTTATGGCTGGGTGCGGTGGCTTTTGCCTGTAATCCCAGCACTCTGGGAGGCCAAGGGTGGATCGATCACCTGAGGTCAGGAGTTCCAGACCAGCCTGGCCAACATGGTGAAACCCCATCTCTACTAAAAATACAAAAATTAGGCAGGCATGGTGGCATGCGGGTGTAATCCCCACTACTCGGGAGGCTGAGGCAGGAGAATCACTTGAACCTGGGAGGCGGAGGTTGCAGTGAGCCGATTTCACACCAGTGCACTCCATCCAGCCTGGGTGACAGAGTGAGACTCCATCTCAAAAAAAAAGAAAAAAACAAAAACCCCAAAAAACAACAAAAAAATACATTTATACCAGTGTTTGTATCATTCATTTCTATAGAGATACAATATCATTGAAGTTTCAAATTAACAGCCATGTCTATGCTAAAATAACATGAATATTTTATTTTTACATATTCTCACTCATTTGTATATTTTCTTACATAATTGCAATTGCATTTTGAGAGTTTTATTGAAGTAGAATTGACAAAAAAATGGCCAATGCTTCAAATGTATGATTTGGTAAGTTGACATATGTAGTATCTGTGAGACCGTCAACACAGTCAAGAAAATTGGCCGGGTGCGGTGGCTCACGCCTGTAATCCCAGCACTTAGGGAGGCCGAGGCAGGTGAATCACGAGGTCAGGAGATCCAGACCATCCTGGCTAACATGGTGAAACCCTGTCTCTACTGAAAATACAAAAAATTAGCCGGGTGAGTTGGCCATCGCATGTAGTCCCAGCTACTCAGGAGGTGGAGCTTGCAGTGAGCTGAGATGGCGCCACTGCACTCCAGTCTGGGCGACAGAGCGAGACTCCGTCTCAAAAAAAAAAAAAAAAAAAAAAAATTAGCATATCCACTATCCACAATTTGTTGTGTGTGCCCTTTTCTAGTCCTGCCTTATGCTTCTGCTTCCATGGACAGGCACTAATCTGATTTCTGACACTATACATTAGTTTGTATTTTTTAGAATTTTTATTTATTTGTTTTTATTTATTTATTTTGAGATAAATAAATAAGGAGACAGGAGTCTCACCCTGTCGCCCAGGCTGGAGTGCAGTGGCGCGATCTTGGCTTACTGCAACCTCTGCCTCCCAGGTTCAAGTGATTCTCCTGCCTCAGCCTCCCGGGTAGCTGAGATTACAGATGTGCGCCACCCTGCCCAGCTAACTTTTTGTATCTTTAGTAAAGACGGGGTTTCACCATGTTGGTCAGGCTGCTCTTGAACTCCTGACTTTGTGATCCGCCTGCCTTGGTCTCCCAAAGTGCTGGGATTACAGGTGTGAGACACCGCGCCTGGCTAGAATTTTATTTAAATGGAAGCCTACAGCACATATTCTGCTTTTCTTTTTTTTATTTTTTTAGTTTCTTCACTCAGCATAATTATTTTGAGATTCATCCATGTTTTTGTGTTTATCAGTAGTTTATTTCTTTTTATTGCTGAGTAATATTCCATTGTATGTATATACCATAATTTGTTTATCCATTCACCTGTTCATAGATATTTGGGTTGTTTCTAGTTATGGGTTATTAGAAATAAATTATGAACATTCATGTGTAAGTCTTTGTATGGACATATGCTTTTATTTCTTTTGATGTAATATTTAGAAATGGAATGGCTGAGTCAACTTGTTAGGTGTATGTTTAACTTCTTAAGAAACTGTCTAAGTGGTGGTACCGTTTTACCTTCCCACCAGGAGTGTGTGAGATTTCTAGTTGTCCTACATCCTTATCAACACTTGGTATGGTCAGTCTTTAATTTTAGTTCTTCTAGTAGGTGGTTGTGGTATCTCATTTTTTTTTCTTTAGTTTTTCTGTTTGCTATTAGTTGGTTTTTTTAGATTCTATTTTTAAATTAAAATAGAGTAAAATTAACTTTTAAAATTGGTGTACAGTTCTATAAATTTGAACACATGTGATTCATGTAACCACCACCAAAATCAGGATACAGAGCAGTTCTGTCACCCTGAATAACTCCCTCATGCTAACTTTTTGTAGTCACAATCTCTCCTCATCCCTAACCTCAGCAACCACTGATTTGTTCTCTGCCATTATACATTTTTCCATTTGAGACTGTCCCACATGTATACTTATACCATATGTAACCTTTTGAACCTGGCGTCTTCTATTCAGCATAATGCCTTTGAGATTCATTACGTGTATCAGTAGTTTACTCCTTTTTACTGCTGATTAGTATTCCATGTTAATGGATATACCACAGTTTGTTCATTGTACTCATTGAAGGGCATTTGAGTTTAGTTACTTGCAGTTTTTGATGATTATGAATACAGCTGGAAGAAACATTCACGTATGGATTTTGTGTGAACATAAGTTTTCATTTTCCATGAGTACATACATACCTAAGAGTGTGTGTGCTAGACCATAGCAGCTCCAGCTTACTCTATAAAACGGAAATAACAGTACCTACCTAGCCTCACAAAGTGTTTTTGCTACTCAAGAGAGACAAATTGGATAATGTAGCACTTAAGAGAAAGGGATTTAATGTCAAAGTCAGTTTGACTTAATTCATAGAGATCTTTTATTTGATCATTTTTAAAAATTTA